TAAACCCTGTGGTTGGAAAACTCATTCTGATTGGCTGGGCCTGGCTCCCAAGTGGGCGGGTCTGTGCCATCCCAGTCATGTGAAATCCATAGATTAGGGCCTAATGAATTTATTTCAATTGACTGATTTCCTTACATGAACTGCAACTCAGTAAAATCGTTGAAATTGTTCCATGTTGCATTTATATTTTTGTTCAGAATATACACAGTGCCTTCAGAAAGTATTCACACCCCTTGACATTTTCCAAATGTTGTTGTCTTACAGCCTGAATTTAAAGTATATTAAATTTTAATGTTTTGTCACTACACACAATACCCCATCAAGTGGAATTATGTTTTTCTAAATTTTTACAAATTAATTAAAAATGAAAAGCTGAAATGCCTTGAGTTAATAAGTATCAACCCCTTTGTTATGGCAAGACTAAATAAGTTCAGGAGTAAAAACTTGCTGAACAAGTCACATAATAAGTTGAATGGGCAGTAGTGTTTAAACATGATTTTTGAATGTCTACCTCATCTCTGTACCCCACACATACAATTGTATGTAAGGTCCCTCAGTTAAGCAGTGAATTCAAACACAGATTCAATCACAAAGACAAGGGAGGTTTTCCAATGCCTTGCAAAGAAGGGCATCTATTGGTAGATTATTAAAAAATAAAAAATAAAGCAGATATTTAATATCCCTTTGAGCATGGTGAAGTTATTAATTACACTTTGGATGGTGAATCAATACACCCAGTCACTACAAAGATACAGGCGTCCTTCCTAACTCAGTTGCCGCAGAGGAAGGAAACCGCTCAGGGATTTCACCATGAAGCCAATGGTGACTTTCAAATCGTTACAGAGTTTAATGGCTATGATAGGAGAAAACTGAAGATGGATCAACAACATTTGAGTTATTCCACAATACTAACCTAATTGATAGAGTGAAAAGAAGGAAGCCTGTACATAAAAAAAAAATATTCCAAAATATGCATCCTGTTTGCAACAAAGCACTAAAGTAATACTGCAAAAAATGTGGCAAAGCAATTCACATTTTGTCCTGAATACAAAGTGTTATGTTTGGGGCAAATCCAATACAACAAATTACTGAGTACCACTCTCCATATTTTCAAGCATAGTGGTGGCTGCATCCTGTTATGGGTATGCTTGGAATCGTTAAGGACTGGGGAGTTTTTTCAGGATAAAAACAAACTGAATGGAGCTAAGCACAGGCAAAATCCTAGAGGAAAACCTGGTTCAGTCTCCTTTTCACCAGACACTGGAAGATGAATTCACCTTTCAGCAGGACAATAATCTAAAACACATTACATTTACATTTTAGTCATTTAGCAGACGCTCTTATCCAGAGCGACTTACAGGAGCAATTAGGGTTAAGTGCCTTGCTCAAGGGCACATTAACGTAATTTAGCAGACGCTCTTAGCCAGAGCGACTCACAAATTGGTGCGTTCACCCTATAGCCAGTGGGATAACCACTTTACAATTTTGGGGGGGGGGGGGGTGACGTGAGAGAACTTGGGAAGGTTGAACACCAGACGGGCTGCGGCATTCTGGATGAGTTGTAGGGGTTTAATGGCACAGGCAGGGAGGCCAGCCAACAGCGAGTTGCAGTAGTCCAGACGGGAGATGACAAGTGCCTGGATTAGGACCTGTGCCGCTTCCTGTGTAAGGCAGGGTCGTACTCTCCGAATGTTGTAGAGCATGAACCTGCAGGAGCGGGTCACCGCCTTGATGTTGGCGGAGAACGACAGGGTGTTGTCCAGGGTCACGCCTAGGCTCTTCGCACTCTGGGAGGAGGACACAGCGGAGTTGTCAACCGTGATGGCGAGATCATGGAACGGGCAGTCCTTCCCCGGGAGGAAGAGCAGCTCCGTCTTGCCAGGGTTCAGCTTGAGTTGCTTACCAATAACACAGTGATAGTTCCTGAGTAGCCGAGTTCCAGTTTTGACTTAAACCTACTTGAAAATCTA